TAATAATAATAAAATTTTTTAAAAATGGAGAGACTGCACGGAAAGTAGGAAAGAGATACTACTAGTCTAAGTCACTACTATCAACTTTACTAAAATAAGTACTCATTAGCTACAAGACAAAGGAAAAAGGCAATCTGGTTTATCAGATTAAACAATCAGTTTTCAAAGAATTTAGCTGACTATAAACAGCAGACACGTAAGGGGGGGGTATTTCACAGCAAAAGAAAAGCTTCCACAGGCTCCTCTCCCTCCTCAAGGTGGCTTCTGCACCCCGAGCCACACAAGTATTTCCCCTCTCCTAACATCCTGTACCATCAGAAATACTAACGTATTCACAAGAGTTAACCCAACAGGAAATCCCCACTCTATGTATTATGCAAATCACAGTGATGGCATCAGAGTTACCATTAAGAGTAAATGGCCATAAAAGCTATCATTTGTGAAAATATTCCTCCAAGATAAAAACATCTACAACTGAAAATAATGGAAAACAGACTGTTATTAACAAAGTGAAGAGTAACCACTCTGAATTTTCTGGTAGATTAATTAACTGTGGGGTTTTGGGGTTTTTTTTTTTTCCCTTCTCTCCATAAAAAAAAGAAAAAAAGTCTAATTTTCTAACTGCCCAAATACACACACTATTTCCCAAAAGCAAGTGCTATTGAGTGATTCTACCGCTTACTGGTCGGTCGCAAGAAGGGATCCAATCAGGCAGATCTAATGGGAACCCTTTTCAGTATTAGCTTTTTGTAAGAGCAATTAAAATGAACCTGCACAGTTAGCTAAGAACAGACTGATGAAAAGAAAATATACATGTGCCTCATTTTAACAGAATCCAATTGCTAGGAAAGATTAACCCCCAAGTGCCTTAAAGCAGCTACGTTCCACGTTGTTTATAACACTAACTACTTGGCAGACAGGCACAGGGACAGGAGGAAGATGTCAAAATGTTCATCTCTCAATTAACTAAGCCATCTCCCCGACCCCTCAAAGCTCCAACCTTAATTTTTAAGGGGCTCTATAATAGTGTGATAGCTCTACAAAGAAAAAAGGGGGAAGGAAACGAGAGAGAAGGGTGATGACAGTTTAAGAGCTGAAAACAGAGCTTATGGAAAACGGTTAAAGGTACGCAACACAGCTGCAAAGTAGCCTGAGGGCACAGATCAAAGAAGCAGTTCATCACTATCCTAGTTCTGCTGCATCTACTCCGACCACCAATTTATTTCTGCGTGTAATTCAAGGTGTTCCTCAATCTTTCACAGCTGGAGCCCTGGCTACCTTAGGGATCTCAATTCCTCATCATAATAACCAGGCCCAGAGATCAGAAACTGTTCTCAGAAATTCCTGCTTTCCTTGGTTTTACTGAATCTCGGTTACTCGGCTTCAGGGAGAAATACAAATTCTACCTTTTGAATTTAGACTGATACACATGAAGTAGTAAAAATGATACCTTCTTAGAAACTTTTTTGTTTGTTTTTTTACACACAATCAACACTGGTATTTGGATACTGGTATCCAATTAAAAACAACATACCAGCAGAAGAAAAAATAATATAGAGAGAGCTTTAAGGCTCGTTTACTTGTTTTGAGGTTATCTGCAAAAAAGTCAGTTAGACACAAAATGGAGAGATTGGAATGTTTATGCTGGAGAAGGTAAAGGGAAAACAGCCTTCAATATAGAAAATACTACTACTCTAAGGAAAATGGGTTCTTCTGGGACACTAAAAATGGGCACAACTTTTCTACAATTTAAGACACAAATTAGCTTTGGAGGCTGAGCCAAGTAAGGGCGGTAGCCACAGCCACAGGGAAAGGGCAACGAGACTGAAGAGCTGGGGTCTGCCACCCCCAGAACTGAAAGGAGGCTTCTGATCACTAGACAACTCTGTAAGTATGCGCATTTCAGATATCAGAAGTAGAGGCCAGCCTGCTCAATAAACAAGAAAAATTAAATATATTCATTTAACTCTCCTCCCCACGATACCCTAATAAAATGACAGTAAAAGAACAGATTAGGCAAAAACTCAAAAGGCCAAAGACGACAATGAGAGATTAGAGGTATCAGCGAACTTCTAGAAAACAGAAGGCAGACGGAGGAGAAGTAGCCCAAATGTCTCTAAGAGACAAATGGGTAACAACGGACTCACCTCTAAAGGGTCAGAGACGTTTTGTGGGGTGGGAACCTCTGAGAACACAAGTCTGGTCCTCAGTCTTTAAAAGGACCATTTAGACCCCCAGGCACTCAACTCTTCCTTCAGCTGCAGGTTTAGTCTCCACAGAAGATGAAGAGGAGACTCTGGGTGGAGAACCCTTAAGGACAGCAGTGAGGCACCGAGCAGGAAACAGGACCAAATAAAACCCCGAATAACCCCCCACCCCCACCCCAGACAGGCGCTGGAGGAGGCTTCCCGGCAGAAGATAAACGGCCCCAGAGAGACAGCCCCAGCTACTGAACTGGGATGGGGGCCATGGGAGGGAGGGGCATTCGCCAGGGGCCACTCTAGACTGAAAGAGCAGCCCCACCACAACACAAGAAGCCCCAGTCATCCTTTCAGCATTTCACCCTTATAGATGAGTACAATTTGAGGAAAGCTTCCAACAGGAAAGATACCAAAGTTTAAAAGGGGGCGGGGAATAAACTCCAAGGTCTCAGAAGCCATCCAGTAAGCATCAGAAAACCTCAGCAACAACAAAAACTATAAATGACACCCTGCGAAAAGGAACAGAAAACACTGCCCCCATGAAACAAGAGAAGAAAAAAAAGTAACACTGTAAGAAATAAAAAATGCAATGACCTGGACAAAAAAGTTGGAGATATAGTCTAAAATGTAGAATAAGGCAGGTGATCAAAAATGGGAGAATAAGAAAAATAAAGAATCAGACTAAGTGCTTCAATATACAGCTAACCATATCAAAAAAAGACAAAACAGAGAAATTACAATGATAGGAAGAAAATTATCCCAATAATAGTATCAGAAATGTTTTACACCTGGGGGAAATAAATCATCAGTCTGAATGGGTCCATAAACACTCAGCACAACAGGGTCCCCATCAAGACACAGGATTAGATTTCAGAACACTGTGGATAGTGAATATCCTTAAGGCCTCCCAAAACCTTTTTAAAACGGATAAAAAAAGCCCTGTACATAAGAGATCGAGAACCAGAATGGCATCCACCCTCTCAGCATCAACAGAAGCCAGAAAGCAGTGGAGTAAGCCCTGAAAAATTCTGAAGGAAGGTTGTAACCTAGGATGGATATCTAGTTCTAACAATAACCAAAACAGTCTTAAATATACAAGATCTCAAAGTCTGTATCCATGCACATTCCCTAAACAAGCATCTACAGAAGGTGTCCCACAAAGCAAGGGAGGAAAAACCCGGAAAGAAGTCGGGATGAAGGAAAGGAGACAAGTGCAGGGAACGTGAAGGGCGATGGAAGAGACATCGCCAGGTACAGGCTGCACAGAAGGAGCACGGGGGGCTGGGTGGTACCTGACAGGCACGGCTCAGTGGAAACGGATACTGAGAAGGTCTTTTTGGCTTTCTTTAGTTCTGCTGAAGGCTTTGGGAAGAATAAATGAAAGTTTAGGACATGGAAAAATAAAGCAACGATTAATTCCATATTGGGAGCACGGGGGAAAGTGAAGTTGGGCAGGGATGGTGAGAAAAGAGAGTGAAGTTTCTTATCTGCCAAAACAGGAAGTCAGTAGTTTGTCCGTTTTTTTTTAATGGCAGTGTAAGTACCTTATTTAGGCTGTAAGGATACATTCCAGAAAAAATAGCCCGAGGACTAATGAGTGGCCTCCTCTAGGGAGGGGAAGAGGAGGAGGGTGGGCACTGCTGACCCTGTGTTACTAGCTTATGCCCAGCGCAGACAGACAGAGAAGGGTCCCCAAGCAAGGCAAGACACACATACCACTGCAACTGCCCTCCTCAAACTGCACAAGGAATCTATCTGTACATAATGACGTGCTAGTACTCAGTAACACGCCAATCTGTTCAACATAACTTGCTTTCTTACCTGTATTATCACCAATACACCTATTTTAAAACACTCGCCATGGATCCATGTAACAGTACAGCACAGCGCAAACTACCATGACAACTACGTAACAAAGATTTGTGGTGTTTCCTCATGGTTCAGGAAAGAGTTAAAAATTCTAAAGAAAGTTCTTCCAAAGTTTTAATAACGTATAATTACAATGATTGCCTCCATAAGGGCAAGGCTATGTTTTCTTCTTGTATTTCACACTTTTAAATCTATACCACTGGAACAACGCCAGAAGCAAACTGACAAAGACGCTATAGACACATGGGGGCATTTACAAAACTATATTTATATCTGTACATTTGGACCACTTATATTTAGACACGTAAATAATTCTCAAAGCATCAAAGAGATCATTTGGTCTAGGCCATATGAAATTTTGGTTATGAGAAAATTCTGACACAAAATAGGAAAAAAAATCAGGCTGACAAGTTAGAAACTGTTCCAAGACTCTTAAGACTTCAGGCAATGGGGACTTCCCTGGTGGCACAGTGGTTAAGAATACGCCTGCCAATGCAGGGGACACGGGTTCGAGCCTGGTCCAGGAAGATCCCACAGGCCACAGAGCAACTAAGCCTGTGCGCCACAACTACTGAGCGTGTGCTCTAGAGAGCCCATGAGCCACAACTACTGAAGCCTGTGCACCTAGAGCCCGGGCTCTGCAACAAGAGAAGCCACCGCAGTGAGAAGCCCGCACACCGCCATGAAGACCCAACACGGCCAAAGAAAATAATAATAATAAATAAATAATAAATTAAAAAAAAAAAAGACTTCAGGCCATGTTGTTTCCCTCCCATTAGAGATAATCTTGAAATTCCAAGTCATGTTTCTTGGCATTAAGTCTACTGATACAAAGGAACAAATTTCCTTTAATAAATTATGACCTGCATTCATCATTCTTAACACTACTTCCAAGCATAATTTGAAGGCTACGTATCAACGGATACTTACATTGACTAATCCAAAATAGTGCTCATTGACTGGAAACTGTTCTGGACCAATCTCTTTCTCTAATGCCGAGGCATTGGCGCCCTATAAAATGAAAAACAGACATCTTAGTATTTACAGTAGTTTCCCAATACTGTCACAATTATATACACATTACAGAGAAACCCTTAAAATAATTTTCTTGTTGGGGCTTCCCTGGTGGCGCAGTGGTTGAGAGTCCGCCTGCCGATGCAGGGGACACGGGTTCGTGCCCCGGTCCGGGAAGATCCCACATGCCGCGGAGCGGCTGGGCCCGTGAGCCATGGCCGCTGAGCCTGCGCGTCCGGAGCCTGTGCTCCACAACGGGAGAGGCCACAACAGTGAGAGGCCCGCATACCGCAAAAAAAAAATAATAATAATAATAATAATTTTCTTGTTCCCTATAACTACCTAACATTATGGAAAGAAAACAAAGGGTGATAGCGAAGAATAAAGGCTTTTAATAATATGACCCAAAACTAGTTTGCAGGAACATTCTCATGGACAAAGCCTGGATCAAGGAATTATATCAAATCCTGTTCCTTGTTTTAAGTAATGGATGTGAGCCCCTGCTGTATCACATGGTCTAACAGGAGTGTAATCTCAGAGCAGCCATCTCAGAGAGCTGAAATTTTGTGAAATTAAATATGCATATATTCAGTGACCTAACACTTCTTCAGAGGTATATACCTGAAAATTTCTCAGACAGAATTAAAGGTGACAAGAACGTTTGCTGAAATGTCACTGACGACTGCACAGCTGACTGCAATCTAGATGGTCTATAAAACGACAGCATAGTATGTAGCAGTCAGAATAGATGAACTAGGTTTACATACAAAAACATGGATACTTGTCAAAAACATAATAGTAAGTAAACAAAGTAAAAACGAGATCCACATATATATATAAAACAGTACATGGCAAACGGCTGGAAGAATGTACATGAAACACACTTGAGTGGGGCTGGAAGAGGGCCGGGATGTGGAACTGCAGGGTGAAGGACCAAAAGGAAAAAATAAAATAAAGCCCAACAAAAGAGGGGCCTTGCCCAGACAGTAACTGTGTGTCATGGTCTCAGGAATACGACCGACTCAATTCTGTGCATCTGAGGTCTCTGAAGGAAAAGGGACGGGGAGTCGGGGGAAGTGGTGGGCAGCACACAGGCCCTGAGTACCAGCACACACTAGCAAATGGGCTCAAGACGTAGCCTGAAAGGGAAGTAAAAGCAATTCTGAGAACATAGTAACTCTGCGTCATTCTACCTGGAAATTCCCAAGAACACACACTACCAGACAAATACAACTGATACTACTCACAAAACAGCCCAACACCACCTTGCGGAGCTGCACACAAGACGACAACACGACACACACACCACGCCTCCCCCAAGGGTGCAACCACGGTCACCACCACCAGGTGCCCATAGCCCACCCCTGCTGTTTCCTAAGCCTGGGAAGCCCAGACCTTTTTGTCAGACGATGCCTCTTCAACTTCCTGATGGGCCAGGCCTGAAATAAGTACTGATGAAAGGGACCGGGTGGGTTGGTGGTCGAGTTCCACCAAAACGAGACATTTCCTCTAAAATGCCCTCCAGCCATCCAGCACTTGGATATATACACGATACTGTCTTTATTTTTTTAATTTAGGAATTACTATTCAGCTTTCTGTAAATCCCCAACACAATCACTAGTTCACAGATACTGTTTATTTCTAAATTTGGCTCTCCATGAACTGTTTTATAACAACATGAAATTCAGTTATTACAGCAACTTCAAGATCCACTGAATAGAACCGTCTTGGTGGAAGGCTACAAGCCCGCTCTCCGCCCCCGCCAGCTCAAGTATGTTGTCGCGGAATTTCCTCACATATATTGAAAACTATCACTAAGCCACATGTAAGAATTTAAACTGATATTGGTGTATTCAAATGAGTATAGCCCCTTTCCCACACACACAAAAAAAAAGACAAGAAAAGGTGCTATTATCCAAAGTACAACCTCATGCATCTATGTACTTGGGACAATAAAATGCCAGTACACATACCTGGGGAAAGCATTTCTGGCCCTCGGGATGAAGCAAGAACAGAACACCATGCGAGCGTTCTCCACTGTAACACCGATCGCATGCCACACCCGTGTGCTCTGACCACCCCATGTCCCACTGGTGTCCCTACACGCTTCCAGGCGCTGCTCAGAAAGCCCTTCCCCCACCCATCCTGGCCTCAGGGTAGTTTTGACTACGGCTCAAGTTCTTAGCCTCTCTGTGCCTCAAGTTCCTAAGGGTAAGAGGGAAATGGCACCAACTACTTTACAGAGTGGCTACGAATAAACTGAGTTGAAGCTTTTGCAAAAGCATCTGGCTGTGCCTTGTACGTGAGCCGGTGTCCGTAAATGCTGCTTCTCTTCTCTCCCTTCCCTTCAATTCCAAGGGGAAGAAAAGCTACTCTCATTGGCCAGTAATATTAATAAATATGACCAGCTCCATGCAATAGCTAAGAAATAACAAGAGAAGGAAACAAAAATCAGAAGGAGAAAATGAGGAAGCTTCATTAAAAAAACAGATCATCTCCTCAATCTGGCCAACTCCACAACACGGCCCCTGGAAGAACCCTCACAATACTCCCCCAAAGCCGAACCACCAGCAGAACCACAATCCAACGAGGCTGGATTGAGGAGGAGGTTAAGTGCGATGAAGTGGAAACTCAGACCACTGTCATTTAACCTTTCTGGTAATTTAAGAATTTTTATTTGCAAAATAAAAGGGCCAGTCTCCTCAGCAATTTTCTAGACCCCCAGCTCTAAGCTTATCTGTTGGGTTTTCAAGTAAGCGTTTACACAAACTTAGGTTTTCACAGCCGAAGATCAGGTAATCTCTAAAGTGCCTTCTAACTTAACATTCTGTCATACTTGCAATCACTTTTATCGACACTTCTGAGGACACTACTGTATTAACACAAAGCTCCAGGGAATTCTAAGCCAACTGACACATGCCGAGCAACACGATTCGACAGGGAGGGATTGTGGCTGCAGATACAGCAAGGGCAGCAGATCGAAACGGACAGGACGGAGAGGACGGAATTGGCTTGGCGACACTTCTAAAGCAAGGCACAGAGCAGTAAACTACACCTCAGCACAGCATAAGGACGCCGCAGAGCGGATCCTGTGAACTACAGGAGGAGGGTCCCACGGCAGGACTTCAAGACTTTCCTGCAGAAATGACCAGAGCACACGCCTACCTCTAGCCGAATGCTAACTACAAAGGCAGAGTGTAGACAAGGCAATCCAGTTTCCGATGAGCGCTTTTTTTTAAATTTAAGTGTTTTCAACACTAGAGTTAGATATAACTGGTGAAAAACCACCACGAAGCCGAAAACTTGCCACACAATTTTTAGTACGTTTACCAGAGTTCTCAAACATCATCCCTTGAAGATGTTATTGAAGGCTGACACTCCCTATCATGTCAAATAACAGTCAGTCAAGCTCCACAAGATTTCAATTGAGCCTAGAACAAGTCAACATCCAACAGTAATGGCTCTGAACAGCCCTGCACCCCCACAGTTGAAAAATAGGACCCCACTGCAGTTAACAATGCTTCACGAAATCACGATTCTTTACTGGGATAAAGGGAAGAAACGTTGGTGTTCTCAGTTAGGAATTTCTGCTCTAAAGCTTTCGTGAGGAACAGGATTCATCTGTTTTGTCTGAGAACACAGCACACTCAGAAGGAAGAAGACATTCTTTCTGACTGTTCTGTCTCCATTATTGTAACTTACATAAGATTATTTTAGACTCAGCATCTATTACTACAAATTCATCAAGAAGAAGTAATTAGATAATAATAATTTACTGAGCTGGTGAGAAAATAAGGAATCTGCAGAAACCAAAAAACGAAGCCATGGGAGAACGCTGGGAGATAAGCAAATGCCAAAGACAGATTTTACATGGAGGTCACCTGCCAACACTAGTGACCTCTGCACCCTACTCTGACAGCTGGATGGAACAGAACGTGGTAACCAGGTGCTGAAGCTTAGGGCCCACCAAAGACAGGGAGGCCAGCAGAAGACCCCAGCATGACAGTGAGCCCAAGAGGGCTACGTCTTCAGCTAAGGGGGAAGGAGAAATAACCCTGCACCACAGAAGGAGATGGCAACGAAACCTGCCTGACCTGTCCTTGGTGTGGGAGTGCAGGAGATGATAAATATCTTCCCAACAGTCATAACCACAAGCTGGCCATAATCAAAGCTTGTGACCCAAATTCACACGTGCTATATGATCTTACAAACAAACAAAATCAGGCAGAAAATGTAATTCAAAGAGGTCCTGAGTTGACAGTGCCCTCTTCCACCCTACAACTAGCAACCAACAGAATACAAACTCACTCTAGAAGATAAATTCAATCCACCCCACAAAGAATTCCCACAAATAAAACTCCAAGAGATTTGAGTTCACAATCAAAAATCACACATACACAGAAAAACAAAGCACCACGAGTAAAAGCCAGCAGAAGCACAGATGGCAGAACTAGATTCAAGATATTAAACACCAGGACTATTTCAGACATGATGTAAAACAAATGCTTAATATGTGCAAAGAAATAGCAGAAGCTTGATTATAAGAACAAAGACGAAAATTTAAAGCCTAAGCTGATTTTTTTAAAGAACCAAATAAAACTTCTAAATGTAAAAATTATAAAACTTTTAAATATAAAAGTTAATTGAAAGTTAAAAACTCAATGGTAACTATGAAGACAGTTCAAAACAACAACAACAAACAACAGTGGTTCCCAGGGATTAAGGAGAAGGAGGGATGAACAGGCAGAGCTGAGAGGATTTTTAGGGCAGTGAAAATACTCTGTACGATACTATAATGATGAATACATGTCATTGTACGTTTGTTCAAACCCACAGAAAGTACACCAAGGGTACACTGTAGTGTAAACTATGAACTTTAGGTGATTATGATGTGTCAGCATAGGCTCATCAATTGTAATAAGTGTGCCACTCTGGAGGCGCTGTTGACAAGGGGCGAGGCTGTGCACGTGCGGGCAGGAGGTATACGGGAAATCTCT